GAAATATATTAGCAAAGATAGAAACATTTCCTAAACTCACCTTGGATTCGAGTTTTGTTTTAGGCGTTGACCGCAACGCTTCGAGGCAGTATGTACCGTTATATCCACACTAAGGACAAATCCAGGCTTGCTAACAATATATGTAAAACATATCTCATTACCAAGAAAACTGGACTAAACATATTTCTCTTTTGTTCTACTACTTATTCAATATTAGGAACTTTTCATTTGGAGGAAAAAGGACTTTCTTTCGAAAAAACTCGGTTATTAAAGAAATAAAAAATGTGGTGAATATATAGAAAATTATTAATTATTCATTAAATATTTAACCTTTTATTTAACATAATATTACAATAAAAATAAATACCAGTTTTCCAGTTGACTCTTTAAAAATTAAAGTATTCTGTTCCATGTAATTTTAGTTCAAACTCTCGATAACGAAAATGTCCCATTTGGATCCATACACTTGAGTAACAAATTCATAATATTTTGTTACATTTCCGCTATTTTATAATCTATTATGTTGTTAATTATTTTGTTTTTCGATTAAAAAAGAGCTCAACCACGTAATCTAAAATCTCATTCATGATTATACATCACATAAATTTTAGAATGATATTTGAGACTTAACATAAATCGCTCTTTGTCGCTCGCGCAAACGTGAAACCCATTAGTTAGAGCATTCTTAATATTTTCTTTGTAGCTTTGTCACGATTTGAATTGTTGTTGTACATGTTTTATAATGCCATGTTGCTGATAATACAATTCTCCCTAGAATATAATAGAGTTCTTAACAACCATTAGTAACGCTTCTAATAAATCGGAAAATATTTTCCATTTGAAATTTATCCTTAAAAGGAATTTAAAATTTTTTGAGAAGAAACCCATCAAAAAATTTTTCTTTTTATAATTCAAAATATAATACTTATCTTTGATCTAGAACGATCCCACCTCACAGTTTTATTATATATATATTCGCAAATCTTTTAAATATTTAATACTTTTATAGCAGAAAACTTTTGCATTCGAAAGAGCAATAAACAATTTTGATTCTTTGATAACTACCATTCTTTTCAATAGTTAGACTTTGCATTTCGGACCTTGACTTTAATAGGAATGACAGAAGTTCTACTTTGCTTGAATGGAGAAATTGTCTTGTCGTATGTGCTTATATGTTGTCTTCTTGAAACCCTTTGCGCTTATGCTTGATAATTTTCAATAATTTCGTAAAGATTTACCAGAACCGACGGGACAATAGGATCAAGACCAATCCATGAATAACAGCCATTAAAGATTCACAGTCCTCTTGAAATTCTTCATCAAATTTTCTCCAACTCTATTCTTCTTGTATAAATAAGAATCTTGTCTTAGAAAAAAAATTTAGACGAGACATTCATAGTCGAACGCCTTCCATCTTAAATCATTTTGATGGTTGTATAAAGTACTTACTTTCATTTTTCTTAAAAAATGATAGTATAGTATAGCTTTGAGGTCTAAAATTTGAAATATTAATTTGAAGAATAGAATAAGAAACAAATGTATTATAAGTAATAATAACATTATAAGAGAACCTTTTTACGAGAAACCTTTTTTTCAACTATGATTAAAATTAATTAAAAGAAAAAATTTTCCATCATTAAATTAGCTCATTACATATTTTTATTTTTTAAAAGGTAAAAAAAAGGTAAATCATCATCATCTGTAAATAAATAATTTATTTAAATAAAATTTAAAAGGTTCGAAAATTAAATAATTATAACATCTTATGGGTATTGTCGTTGTGGGATAGTGCGTGAGATTTTCTTAATCGAGATGAATTTACATATTACGTGGGCACTCAAAATATTTGTCTTATTTTCAAAAATTTCTATGTTCTTTAGTTAGTTAAAAAAATAATTGCATGTTTTAAAAATGTGAAGGATAACAGATATAGTATATTGTCCAATAAATTTCGAAAAGATCACGTCACGTGATGATGTCACGCATTTTCAACATAAAAATCGCTTATTAGAAGAATATTGATTTTGATGATTAATATAAACCAAGGCTTATTTTTAAAGTTACACAAAGAAATCTTGAAAAATAAATCATAATGCCTAAATAGGATAGAACATGTTACGCGAGTTGAAAATCAATGCGACTTCCTTGTTCCTTATACTTATCGAACATTTTGGATTAAAACTATTATCCATATAAGTCCCAGATGTTGAGGTGACCGGAGCTTCGTTTGCTAAATAGTCAAAAAATGCTTGAATCGATTTTTCCTATCCGCCTACACCCGATTTTGAAGCGTTATTGTTTTTATATATTACAAATCGTCCCATTTTATCGATTGTTATAATAATCAGAGAGATGTTCAAAATCCAGAATTTTTACTTTCAAGTAGTCACTTTTATTCTGGCTAATCTTTAGTGTTACTCATCATTCGCCTTTATTTGTTTATTTATTTAAATTTTCAAGGAAATCATCGAAATGAAGAATTAACTAAATGGGTCTTCTAAAAACGCGCCGCTGAAAAAAAACAAAGACTTTTTTTGTTTTCTTTTTTATTATTATAACTTGTATGTTTCGACGATTCTTTTTAATTTGAAAATATAAACGTCAATATTCATCGCATATGATTATAACCCTGTGAAATTTGCTAGAACCATTTTAATTATCACCATATTATATTATCACTAATGGTACAACGTACATAATAGTACATATATTTATCCTTTTAAGTATGTGGTGTAACTATATAGTACAACTTATTATTGTACTCAAATTTTTTATGTTATGTTACTATAAATAAATTTTACTTCATATACGACATAATAAAGTAAATAATTATATAGAGAATAATATATCTTGATTTATTAAAATAAATTAATAATCAGCCAAATTAGAAGATTTTCAATTTTTTTTTTAACTCTTTTGATATGGGTAAATTGTATCATGACTTCAATTACCAAATCTTTTTAGAAACAGATGGAATTATATTTTTTTAAGTAGCTAAACATGCATTTTTATAAGGCAGAACATTTTTTCTCTCTTTTTTTTTAATGTATTAACAAAATATAATCAGTATAATTTCTTACGCTTGATGGAAATATTTTATGGCATTGAAACATGAAATTTTTTGTACTTTAATATTATGGCAAAATAATTTTCCTTTATTTTTTTTATTAGGGAACGGGGACCGCTGTCAAGTGGAACGATCTTAACTAAAAAATTCACACGGGCGGACATACAAAAACATATAGTAATTGACTCATCACATAAATCTAAGATAATCGAACAATTTTTTTTCTCTGTAACTCCAGATTAAACAGGTTTTTTTTTTACTAAAATGCATGTGTGACGTAATTGACGCGTGTTGTTTGACAGCACAACTTTCTTGAAAAATTAAAGCTGTTATTTTATACTTGCTAAATAATATAACAGCACGTTCTTCTAGCTTACACAAGCTTTATCTTATGTTGGCACAAAAAAGAATTAATGATTACCAAGTGACTTTTTTTTGTCATTATTTTGTACATCGCATATATTTTTTTCATAAAAACTACATAAATATCTATTTTTACATTTCTATATAAATATAGTATATTACCCCTGCATTAAGATCCTCAATTTCCGCGCATTCCTGGAATCACATGGGAGGTAAGCAATTAAAATCACGTTACGGATCCTATGATTTAACTCGATTTTAATAGCAAACCCCCTACATATTTTTTATGGTATACAATCTTAATATGCTAAAAACCATGGTATTAAAGAAAATTTAAAAATTATCATTATATAATTGTAAAATTCTATTCACTAACTTTGTAATAATATCCTAAATATTTATCAAAGAGTATTTAACATATCTAATACTATTATTATACCTAATTTGAAAAAGAAATGGGTAACTATTATTTTTTTTTCAAATTTGTGTTGAAGCATTTTTTTTGATCTCCTGAACAGAAAATCATGTAGTACAGTTTTGATTTTGTTTGTCTGAATTCCAATTTCACTGAAAATATAAAAATTTAAATAAAAATTGTAAAAAAAAAAATTGGCATATTTGTGATTGGTTAAAATAGTTATTTATTATCAGATAACAAGATCGTTTCACGGATATGTACGCAATAGTGGGATTGCCTGTTGTACAAAATTTCACGTGACTATACTCATCGCCCAATCGCAAAAATGAATCATTTAAGAATCAGAAAATAGAAATTAGTTTTTTTTTCGATTCAATTATATAGCTTTTTGTTTATACCTCACCTCAAATTCAGGAAACAGGAAGAAA